GTAAACATCGGAACTTGACGTTCAAACCACATTTGGGTAAGTTCAAATCGATTTTGTTACACATAGGACTCACCTATGACTTTGTGCAGTTAAACCACCATCCTCCAACCTCTGGTGCTCGTTGCTCAAGCCAAAATGATGGTCAATTTGATGGGGGAGTTGTTGATTAGGATGCATAGGAGTAAGGTTATATGGTGCAGATAGGGTAAGCACGGCTAGACCTGAGAGTTAGATAGTAATAAGTATGCCGGACGTTGTCGATGGTCGAGCACTCAAATGATGACGAATTTGGTAATTCCGACTTGTGCCCCTGGATCGTCTGGTTTCAGCCCCCAGTAAGCGCCCTCACAAACCAAACCAGCGCTCAATTCTCAAGGTTGGTTTTTCACCCGGATTTTATTCGGTGAAATGTTTCCCTACATTTGGTACGTTGTGTGGCCAAACCTTTCAATCACACTCTCATGACGTTGTAGGGCAACCAAAACCTCAAACCGAGAATTGAGGAGCACTACTGTCGTCTCCTCACCACCAACTCCCGGTTTCTGACGTCCCCCATAACAATTTACTATACTACCTTTACCACCGTGATGCAACTTGCACTTGCCTCCTCCGCTTCCTTTGCGTCAGACGGTCCAGCTCACACACATGTGGGGACTAGCGCTGTTCGGTAGCGACCCCAGTTTGTTCAAGGACTCAAGGGCTGGCTCAGTGCAGCTCCGGTTACCAACACTCCGCGTTGAGGGCGCACCGTCGTAACCCCGACCGCGGCGATCCCCGTACTGGTATAGCCCGCAACTGAGTGACTAGCATCCAATCGGCAGCTCAGCAATGTGGGATTCTGAATGAGCCTTCTTGGCTGACGGTGCCTGCGCTAGGGGTTACTTGCCTGCTCCACGTGCACAAAGCTTTCCTGTGCCCCTATATCCCCCTATTTTCGCCCGCTCAAGTGCATTTGAACCACCAGAGTGTTGTGCGACACCCTTGCCTCGTACGCGAACGGACGCCAAAAGGGTATAATGCTTTTGTTTGGCACATTTGGAGAGTATGGTGCCCCAGGGCGGCGCTGTCGCCCCTTCTCGCACTCGCCCGTGCAGCTTGATCTTGGCTGCTTTGGCACAAGTAAGCATCCGTGAGGGTTGTCCAGTTGTTCGTCAAGACATAGTAGTCGTTGGATTTGGGGCCCCCGACGACATTCCTGGTGCCTACAGGCTTTGGTGGCACCAAAGGGTTCCGAGCGCATGAGATGGCACTCACCGCCTGCACTGTTATAGCTCAAGCTACTCCACCGGCGAATTATAGGAGAAATTGTCTAATATTGGATCACCACGCGCGACAGTGCGTTCGTTGGGGCTTTTGGCCTCAGGGGCGAATCCGTGAGCCCCGTCAACAGGTTTCCGCCCGTTGATTGCCGAATCGATAGGTCTCGACCCGCGTGCCGCCGGGTCCTGCAGTCGAGTGCATGATCGAGAAAATCGAGAAAACTTCCGGTTGCGAGGGTCGGCCAGCATTCATTTGACAGGGGCTATTTGCAACAGGAGGTAGACCACAATAAAAATATGATCACGGCCGTCGTCTATATCGGGAGCGTGTTGACAGCTGGGGATCAACTGTACCTGTGTGACCAGGGTCTCCATTATATATCTGGCGAGCGTGCTGGTGGGTAACCATCGCCTGTTTTCTCCCTCCACGTCCCCGGTCCGACGTTCGTGTCTCCACAGTCTTTTTCCATTACTTTCGTTTGTCCAGTCATGCGTTTCGCGCTTGCTTCGTTTGCCGCCGCTGCGGCCACTCTTTCCCTGGCCCAGCCTCACGTCCGTGCTGGTGCGGGTATGAGCATCAACCCGGACATCGGGGCCATTCCAGGTGTTACGGACTGGAGCAATGTCACCCCGGCTCCCCAGGCGAACACTAATGGGAAGCGTTTTGCGATGAAACTCCCTCCCCTTGCTCCCAGGGCTCACCACCCCCAGCGTGCCGCTCCTCACCGTCTAGGTATCCCGAACTTCAATCTAGTTGTGGGTATTAGCTAACTATCTTGATAGGTTCGCGTGTTCAGGCCGCTGCACGTTCGCAATCATCACCTTCGCCCCCTGTCACGTAAGTCCGGTGGTTTCATTTCATAGTTCAGTTGCTTATTCGCAGAGGGCAGCCAACACTGCAACATTTTGGTGCAGAGCGCCACACAGATATTTGGTTTCCTCTCTAAGGACTTGAACTCTTTCGGAGAGTACGGCCTATTTGTGCCCAGCCAGTCTCCAGGAGCGCTCGAGGTTTCTTTTCCGTACTCGCCGGACTCGCCGAGCCGGATCGATTTCACGGCGGTCAACAACCAAGCTCCCGCGTTCCCGTTCGTGGGTGGAGGTATGTTGAAATTCTTGGTCGACTTGCTTGCTGCTGACTGGGGTGTAGTTGTTGGGTTTGCGTCCACTAGCGACAACTTTGGTCCCGGTAGCTACAAGTAAGTCGAGTCCTCTGCGCTTGGTTCCTTTATTGTTTACACGTGGTGTAGCTATGGCTATATCGCAGGTACGGGCCAGACACCCCCTGGCTCTAGTGCTATGCTCCTGGATAGTACCTTTGGGACTGCTACTGGCGTCCCAACTGACTCTGAGAGCGCGATCTGGGTCTATAACCCGAACACCCAAGCCATCACTGCCCAGTGGATTAATATCGGTGGGGGCGCGCCCGCCACCAGCTTCGTGTACGCCAATGACTTTAACCGTGAGTCTTCACTTTGCATGTGCATCAGATATCATTTTAACCTCCTGTTGTCCCCGCAGAGGCTCTGCTGATCACAGGTGACGCAAACGTGCTTCGCAGTACCTTTGGTGCGCCGTATCCCGATGTTGTAGGTGCACTCCCAATTTACTGCTGTTCTATCTTCTGATCTGGGTTGACCTAGACACTCACTTGCGTCCCTCCGGTGGTCACCCCATCTCGCCACTAGTCAATTCTTTTCTTGATTTGCCTGGTGTACACGAGACTTTGTCTGGGACATTGGTTACATCGTCTGTTTGGTCTCCAGCGTCATTTCGTCCTTCCTAGAGTGATGTAACACCCATTTTCTGCACTTGTTTTCGTACCTATAAATTCATTTTATTCAATTTCGTATATCTTGGGTGACGCAAGGCGTTCAAATATGGACAGTTGGTCGCCCAGCCCTCAAGTACAAATGTGGCAATGAGCAGAATACCTTGGTGTGTGAAAGGTGCTTGCCCCGCATTCACATGGCCCAGACGATTGAATGTACATAGTTCAGTTTTACCTAGCGCTCTACTGCAACGCTCGTTTATAAATAGATGCGAGTAAATTTCATGGGACGGAGACGGAACAAGAAAAACTGCTACTACTACTTCTTCCTTACAATCCCCAACGAAGCTTGCAATTTCGCCTTGTCCGGCTTCTCCTTGTCCTGAGTCGCCAGCGCTGGCGGACGGGCGACGGCATTTTTGAGAGAACTTGGTATTACCCCGAGGTTGAGCCCAGGCGTTGTGGGTTTGGGGAACGTAGGATGTGATGCACGAGGCACAGACTGAGCACCAGTCGCCGGTGCCGCGGGGACGATTGACGGTGGGGGTTTTGCCGGAAGAGAGGGTGTTAAACTGGGTTCTGGCTGGGCGGTGTTTGGACCTGAAGAGCGGTTAGCTGGGGCAAATATCAACGGTGAGGACATACCAAGTATTTCGGCCAATAGCGCGTCGGCCGCGGCGTCCTCCTGGGCAACTCGGTCGCGTTCCATCACACCGAGTTTAGCCTCGAGTGCTGCGATCTTGGCGGATGTACTCGATGGTTTGTTGTGTGTTTTGAGAAGGGAGAGCGTAGTGTGGCGAGGCGGGGGCGCGAATCTCCTGCCGGTTAATAAGGTCATTTGCGATGTTGGCGGGCGATAAGGTCATTAGGGTACCTGTGAGGGCCTATACCGGACCCAGCGAAGACCGAATGTGCGTCCGGATGGGCGCTTTGACTCGCAAACGTTACAGTCAGTTTCCGCCGGCGGAGAGGCTTGTCATGACAGGCTACGAGGGCTTTGGTGGCTTCCTACGCCCGAGGAACAGGCAAATTGGAGAAGAGGCCGTCAGAGGGGGATAAGAGCAAAGGGGAGAGCGACGAACCTGCTTGTTGGCATATTCGACAAACGCATACCCTCTGGGTTTGCCTTTGAGAGGGCCTGATTTGTGAAAGAGAAAGTCGAGTTTGGTGACGTTTCCAAACTTGGAGAAGACTTGAAGCAGAGCGTATCTGCGGTGTACGTGAGCGTCTGGAACAAAAAGATGTGCCGTACTCACTCGTCGACTGTATGATCGAGGTTGCCGACGTATAAACGATTCCCGCGTTGATCCTCGGGGCGGGGTGGGGCGGCCTTGGACGTCGACGCATGTGGGGGCTCTGGGTCGGACGCCGGGATGGTAAGAACTTCAGTGGTTGATGGATTTGCGGCCATTGGGAACAGCTAGAGTGGCGAGATTGGGGTCTGGTCGTGGAGTAGACGAGGTTAAGTTGGGAGGCTGTACATTTGCAAAAACAGTACAGCCACCATACATACGAAACTCAAGGAAGAGCTTGCTGGACCTTTACGAGTCCTCCAAGAGATCGCACGTCGGATCGCCAAGGTATCAAAGGAATCTAAACTCCCATTGGACGGGGAAGAATACGTGCAATCGTTCAAGGTTGAGCTGATGGACCTAGTACTATGTCGTGGCGCCAAGTTTGCGGACATTTGCAAGGTCTGGCACCTACGAGCTCATCTGACGCTACTTTAGATGACCGACCAATTTGAGGGCGGCTTGATTCGTGTGTTGAGGCGACTCCAAGAACTAATCCGACAAATGACGCAGGCGGCGCATGCAATCGGAAACATGGAACTAGAAGCAAAGTTTACCAAAGGCGTCCGAAATGCTCGAACGCCAGAACTCGGTCATCTTTTGCTCGTCATTGTATCTGTAGATTTTGGCGTGCTGCTCGTTGGGGGGCCACGTGGTCTCCCCGGCGACAGCTAACAACCCTCGGTAGCTCAGTTGGAAGAGCGTGGGACTGTAATTGGCAATGCATGCTTACATAATCATCCCGAGGCCACTGGTTCGATCCCGGTCTGAGGGACTCTTTTTGGGTGTTTTATTTTGTTGGGAAAGGTGTTAATTTTATGTACTGTACCCCACCCTGAAATGGAACAGATTTTGATTTTGGTGACATCATACCTGATTGATCCTCTCAATGCCTACATTTTTGTATCCAATCTATAGAGCAAGGATACGAGAGGGTACCAGCGAAATTTTTGAGGCAATTCATTAGCTTGTTGGCAAGATACAGAAAAATTAAGATACACTCAAGATTGGACCAAATGACTGGGAAGTGGAACACATGACTGACTAGTGTTTTTTCCCCTCTAATTACCAAAAATGCCTGCCAAGTAAGTTTTCTGTATGCTGGTATAGTTAAATACACATAACAAGTGTCACATAGACCTAAAATACCCAAAGAGGAAGTTGAAAAAGCAATTTCATTGGCCATTGAGGATGTCTGAGACCATGGGCTCTCCCATCAAGATGCTGCTAACCAGTGAGGGGTCCCCAAAATCACAATATGAAACTGGGTGCATGGCCACCAGGATTGACACAAGGTGCATGAGGCTGAACAAGAACTGAATGACGATGAAGAGCAAGAGGTTGTGGTGTGGGCTCACCAAATGGAGCATCGTTACCTGCCTGTCCGACTTGTGCATCTGCTTGGGTGTGCTGAATTACTCTGGAATAACAACAATGGCACCAAGGGCAGGAAATTAGGCAAGCATTGGGTTCAGGGATTCTTAGATTGGCACCCTGAGCTGAAGCTTACTACGAGCAAACAGATTGATGAGAGATTGGTTATGGCAAAGAACCCTGAATATATTGTTGGCTTCTTAGACAAGTACAGTGATGCGCTAATGTTGGCTTCTTAGAACAAGACAACAATGTGATAAAGCCTTTGCTTATGTCTTTCCTTGTAGAGAGCACACCCAGGGAAGAGTAAGCAGTCATAGGATTGAGTGAATCAACAGATGAGAGTTATATGCATGAAATCTGGCCAGTGAGCCTCACTGGCCATTTTAACCATCCTCAAAACCCACCACAAATACATGTAAGCTATACCATTAAATATACAAAAATCTACTGATTCTGCATATGCTTTCACACAGGTCAAAATAAATTATCTTGGTGGAGAAAATTGTAAAATACATCTTAGAGATATTCATGAAACATCACACCCCCTGAATCTACTGTTTAAGCAGTATTTTGAATGATCTAAAGTAGCGAACAACTACTATACAGGTGATGTATGCTATCTGCACAGTTTCAGACTAATCCAATCAGCAGAACAAAAGATATGACCAGGGGGGAATCCCACTTACCCCTATTTCCCCTCCTTGTCATTTGGAATGAACCAGCCAAATAGAAGCAAAACCTATGGGTACAATATACTCAGAATACTTGAAAACCCCAGTGTGCAAAATATCTCACCTGTAGCTGCTCTGGATTCATGTGAATTGACATGCTGCAACTGCCTGAGAAACACATACCTCCTGGGGCTTATTGAGTAGGTTCTGGCTAATATTTCTGCAGATTAAGACAGTGTAAAGTAGTGAACTATAGTAATAAAGTATTTAGAACATAATGTACTCATTAGAATTCTTTTAAATCTTAATAGTCCTGTAGAGGGGGCACTCCTATGATTTCAGCCCCTGTCCAAGACATTTACCCCTGTTTCACCCACTTCCCATGCTCCAATTGCCCTGGAAATTTGTGCATATACTCCTGTAGCACCCATGAGTAGGTCGAATACAGGGGAGCGGCATTTCCATGGTGGGATTCACTAGTGTATGTGGCACTTTTCAGGGGCAAACCCCCTCTGGGATTAAATCCCCCCTTTCTGGATCAGGATAATTTATTCTGATGATGTGATATACATATTCTGAAAGCTAGAATTAATCTGCATATTATGATATTTATTTTGGTGAGTTGTGGTGGCTTTTAGACACACCCAAAATTGCTCCTCTGAGCCTCAAGATGAACTCACAACACACCAGCCTGTAACTACATGAAATAAAATAGATAGAATCCCAGAAAAATTACCAATGGGTGCACCAGACTTTTGTGAGAACTTAGAGCCCCTAAGCATGGGTTCCTGCCCAGTTCCTGCTTCCAGGGGAGTGGGAAGAGGCAGGGAAGGGAAACAGCAAATCTGTGCAGGTTCCTGGGTGCTGGAAGGGGAACCTGGGTTTCTTCCTGGGTGACATCACTAGTTGGTGACTCTATTGGTTGAATCCCAACATATATCCTGGAATACTACAATTTGGTGAGTCTATCCTCAGTATGAGTAACAAATACACTCACTTTGCCACCTAGCTTGGTGAGATCTGGCAGGAATTCAAAATTCCTCCTGGCTGTGTGTTCAACATGGATGAGAAAGGCTACTTGCTTGGTGTCAGCAGTCAGGAGAAGGTGGTAATTTTGATGTGTGATCATTGAGATGGGTATGCAGGAGGTTCAAAACATTGAAAGTTCACTCTTCTATTGATCAAACTCTGTTTTACTTACCTGGTCCAATGCAGCTGGCAACCATGAGACTGTCACAATGGTTGACACTATCTCTGGGGGAGGTTATGTGCCCCCACCAATGATAATTATGAAGGGGAAGAACGTGCAATGTAATTGGATTGAGAACAGTCCATTACCAGAGGATACCTTATGGGCTTGCTCACCTAACAGGTGGACCAATAATGAGCTTGGTGCTGAGTACATCAAAGTGTTTGACCAGTGGACAGCTCACAAAGTGTGAGTATTATTAGAGATATGATTCTGACATACTGAGTCTTTGGCTGCACACAGAACTGGTGATGAATATCAACTTCTGATATTGGACAGGCATGGCTCACACCTTACATATGGATTCCTTCACTATGCCCATGAAACTCATGTTGGGATTCAACCAGCAGAGTTGCCAATAGCACACTCCACAAGCTTGGTATGAACACCAGCTTCTTCAGCCTGAAGTTCCATGGGAACATTGTTGTTATGGTAACCACTACTACTTCTGTTTGTCATGTTGATCAACATGTCATCCCTTTGTGGTCTCCCTTGTTGCATGTGGACACTTCTGACTTGCCTGCTTATGAAGACACATGGATGTATGATGTCATGACCCTGTATCCTGTAGCAACGTAGCAATCATAACAAAAACTGTACAGTCACGTGACTTGGGTGCTTATGGTGGTTACCCAAGTTGCTCCTGCAATATCTCCCCCATGTAATGCTGGAGCGAGGAGCGACCTGACTCAGCGTCACATGACCCTCGGACCCTGCACGGCTCCTATAAGATTCGGAGCCGTAACAAACCTAGGTGAGACCTACACGTGACCAGTAAACAGACACACATGACTACTCAAGGCTGCCCAATAGCAGCTCCACGCTACACGTGACCAGCCTGACTGCAGACTGCGCATCCACAAAGTGACTCGATGGATATATATGTATATAAGAATAGGGAAAGCAACCTGAGGCCCTCAGATTGCTTTACCTCGTCTACCACTGGACTCGACTAGCATAACTACCAAGTAAACCAACTAGAACTATACCAATATAAGGAACTATAACAATATAAATACGTAGCCACTACATAAGGACAGACAAAAGAGTTGAAAGACGGGTCTTGACATATGACTCATAGTGTTCTCTGATTGGTTTGTCACGTATGACTCACACATCTCCCACATGTATATAAGAGAGGTCTCTGGAGAGCCAGACTCTCATCCATTTCAATCTCAATTGACTATGTTTGTCATGACCTGACACAGTTCTACACATATATTCTGATTTATTTAATGCTTTGTCAGCTTTGACTCATATCCAGGTCACATGACCTGAAGAACTTTCTGGAATCACCGACGTGTCTGTATTTGATATCGTTTTTCCAATTAGTGGCTTCTCAATGCTGTGTTCTGTATGACTTGGTTTGTTTTCTCATGGCTCATCGCATGTATATAAGATGGGTCGAGTTTGAAGAGATCTCTCAAGAACTTGACCTCTTGGTCAATTCTAGTCTCCTTTTAAATACTCTTACTTGACATCTCATCATTGCCATAAGTGAGGCTTGACAATGTTCCATCTCTACTCCTGGGTGTGCTATTCTGAAGAGTTAGCTATAGTGAAAGGCTTTATTGCATTCACTGCTATTGTCTAAGAAGCCAACATCTCACATCATCATGCTCAGGCTGCCAAGCCACACAACCAACTTCCTCCAGCCCCTAGATCGAGTAATCTTCCATTCCCTGCAGCGCTGCTATGGCCAGGCTGTGGGTGAATATGCCTGTAAGAATATTCCAGTAACTAAAAAGAACTTTGCAATGTGAGTGACAATAATTTTTCATTTGGATTAAACTCAATATATCTTGATGTTCAGGCTTCTGCACCAGGCTTAGGAGCAAGCCTACACAAAAGACAAGATCTTGTCTGCATTTGAAGTGACAGGGATCAAACCATTTAACCCCTGTTGAACCTCTGTCATGAGGGAATACCAAACACAGATGGTGTCTCAAAAAGCAATCACTCACCCTCAGCCTCTTCCACATCCTGCTCTGCCACTGACACCACAAAGCTGTTGTATTGCCATTAGTGCTAGCTCAATGGATGTTTTTGAGGACCCAGAGGTGTCAGTTGAGTCTCTGAGACACACATTGGGAGGGATGTTGGGCCTAGTTGATGGTCCAGAAGCCCGAGCTTTCCTTGCCAAGACATGAATAGCAGAGCTACAAGAAGAAGTCAAAGGGAAGAGGAAAGAAAGTAGGAGAGGAGGAATGGTTGGTTGGTCACAGGTCTATACACAGGAGGCTGTACTCGAGGAGGTACAGCACAAGGAGGAGTCACATGCTCAGGGTGCTGCCTCTAGAATGCAAGGTTGAGGAAGGGGAAGAGGTCACAGTTGAGGAGTGGGGAGACAGAGTCAAACTGCTAGTGGGCAGCATCTAAACACTCCCATAGCAGCCTCAAATGAGTTAGACAAGGACCAAATAGCTCACTCCTCCTTTTCTGGCTTGGAATAATCTGAAGATTCAACTTAAATTGTAG